GAGAGAGAGAGAGAGAGAGAGAGAGAGAGAGAGAGAGAGATTTTTTTAAAAGGCATGTTGTCCACAACAAAGTAGAATATAATTAAAACAAGAATGTGAACAGATTATTATACCCCAAAAATCATTTCCAATATGCACTTTAATGGGAAAATAAATTGTCTTACTACTATTCTTAGCTGTGAAGTGATATAGACAGTGCAGTGAAGAAATCTGGTATATATGGAAAGACTAAAATATTTTATTTGCCCAGTTTGTGTTAAAGGAATTATATTCAGTGTTATTGCAACTTGTATCTTTAACAATTAGGTTTATTTAGTAAAGATTAAAACTACTTGAAGCTTTAACAATTAGTTCTGTTTAGTAAAGATTAAGAATGAACAAATTAGAGACAGACAGACAGACAGACAGACAGACAGACACACACATATATATACACATACATTTCTCATATTTACTGAAATATCATTAAAGATACATTAGAAAACATCATATGTTCAGCTTATTGTTGGTAAAAATGTATATTTCTGGGGGAAACTGAATAAATTAAAAAAAATAAACTTACACATCTTGAAATTCTTCTAATGACTTCTGTGGTGTAAATACATTTAATAGACTAATTATCTGTAAAACCAGAAGTCAGATAGAAATAAACAAAATTAGCACAACCACAAAATTGCATAATAATGATATAATAATCAGATCATTCAGTAACGGTTAATATGAAGCATTCTGGGAGTGCTAAGATCGAAGAATATACAGTAAAATATAAAGATTCTAAAATACTGTAGTAAAAATGCAGTAATACAGTATAATCAAGTCTATATTAGTTTGGAGAAAGTCACAAAACCATAAAGAGCAGTCAAGATGTTATTGTCTAAACCATTTTAATAAATTTGTAGAAATATTGTTGATATTTATGATGCAAGCCAATGAATCATCATTCCACTTTCAGCAATGCTTGGCAAAATTAATATATATGTTAAATAGATTTTTATGAAAAATCTGAACTTTTTTAGTTTCTTCTAATATAGTAATAGATCTTCTGTGTTTCAACAATATTATCTCAATTTCTTGTATATTGTTTTGTATGGCTGCACTGAGCACATAATTATATCTGAAATTTTACAATTGAAGTGTATATTAAAGAAAAAACCCTTCTCAAACAGCTTTCAGAGTGGATTTATTACAAAATAAAACAATAGCTAATGTAAATAAAATTATTTTCAGAACAATAAATTTCATACATTTCTCACCTTATAGAAAGCAATTCCTATTATTATCATAATTCATTAACATTGATGAAAAGTGTTAATGCAAATTATTAAGATTTACTACATGACATTATCTCAGACTGTAATGACAACTGACAGATACATTTACTCCAAAACTGTAATGTAAATGTTTTCAGATATTCTATTAACACTCAAATCTACTATTATTATGAATCATTAAACTTTTCTGTCCTTTTTTTTTCTGGTTACTTTCATGTCAGAGTTAATTCCTAGCAACTGCATAGACAATCCCTGCAGTTTTTCAGGCAAGCTTTCAAAAGTGGTTTCCCATTGTTTGTTTTCTAGAGTTGAGAGAGAATAACTGGCTCAAGCGTTTTATTTTATTAGCCACATATAAAAGCTTATTTGTATAATTCCAAACCTCAGTATTAGCAATCTTTACAAAGGTACAGTAAGCTATATGCTATTAAAAATATTAAAATAAATGAAATTATCAACAATGTAATTCAAGCTGCTGCGCTAATACATCATATCAGTAATTATATTAAATAAGCCTAATGCAAGAAATGGTTGAAAATTCCTCAATAAAAACATACAAATATGTTTTTATTGACACTATTGTTAAGTATTTCTCACATTTTCAGATCCCCCTTCTCTCTCCCTCCCTACGCATACATACATAACATTATTTGATAGTCATTTGATTTCAATATAAAATACATATTTTCAATATATGCTATATTAAATTTACTCACATTTTTGTGATTTACACACTTTAGCAGCACTAGTTCTCGATAAGCTCGCTTTGCATGGGTTTGATTCTGGAAAGGGCGACTCAGCTTCTTTACAGCAACATTTATTCCAAGAACAGTATCAAATGCAGCACTGAAACATTGAAGCAGAAACATTCTAGCTCAGGTTCTTCGAAAACAAGACTAGTATACGCTGAAAGCAATGATAACTTGAGCCAACTAAAATTTGCCAGCCAGCAACCTGTTCTGAGCAGTGCACATAAAACTCCTGCTTTCCCAACAACCAGGATCATGACCATCATACTGTACTGCTAAGATGAATGAATGGGTATAGGAGTAAGGAAAGATAAGATTAGCATGTGTGCGTAAAAGGAAATTCTACAGGGGTAGGGAGACAAACAAGCATCAATGCAGTTATTATAAAATGATTGTCTGGAGCTCCAGAATGAAGCAAGAATTCCTCCAATGACTACGCCCCCCCCCCCCATGTATTTTAAAAGTATACCAAGAACTTTCTGGCAAAGGGTTATACAGTTCCAGATGAGATGGGGATCCTGGATATCCAGCCCCAGAAAAAATCATGTACCTATAGCAACTCTTCAACAATAACATTAAAACAGTGGTAATATATGTCAGATTTTTGAAGCTATTCATTGGTCCATGAATTTCTGCATGGATAACAGCACTGGCATAAACATACAATTATAAGTTACGAATTGTGTAATTGCCAAAGATGTTATACTGTCCCAATGCTAGCTACCTTCCCTCATCTGATCCCTAATATAAATTCATCTACTTTGTTTCTTACCATCTTTAATTTGCTCAAACATCTGTTCCTACAGAGCTATATAAATCATCTGTCTGTTCCTTAAAGTGAATGCTAAGAGTCAGATGCTGGTTTTTGGATGAGTTATTAAAATATAGTCTTTGCTTAATGACCAGTTGCTTAGCAATTGCTCAAAGTTACAATTGATCTCTTCAGAGCTATTGCAGCCTGTTTTCAAAGTACTAACAGTCGCACACAGCTCAGTCACATGATCGTATTTTTAGTGCTTGGCAACCAGCACAAATTTACAACCATTTGTGGGGGTCTATGGACCCATGGTTGATTTTCAGGGATTTTTGCTGGTTGCTTGTGTTCACTCCCAGTTTTCAACCAAAAAATCCACTGGAAAACTTGCTTAACTACCATAGCATTCACTTAATAACTGCCACAAAAAAGGTTGTAAAAACAGTCACATGGTGACCTGCTTAAGCCACAGCTTAACAACATAATTCCTGGTTTAATTAGAACTGTAAGTTGAGGATTACCTGTACAGTACTGTACAATTTGCATATGTTTATTTTGGTAGCCTCATAAGCATCAGTCATATTTTCCCATATCCCTTTTGCCTGAATGACTGTAATGGTTGGGGTGGGGGGAGATTGGCAGTCATATTTTCCCATATCCCTTTTGCCTGAATGACTGTCATGGTTGGGGTGGGGGGAGATTGGCACTGGGAAGACCCAGCCACAATTATCTAACAATTTTCTTATATATGAAGTATTTAGAATTTTGGCAATTTTACTACTTTACTACTTTACTGTCCATAAAGGTGGACTGTACTTTAGCAGTTGTTTATATTAGTGTTTGCAAATAAAAGATGAAGACTCTCAAGTCAAGCTTGTTTCCTGAGACTTGATGAACACACTGCTTGCTTGTTAGCAACATCTAACTGTTTTGCCATTGTCAATTGCCAGATTATTTTTGAATAATTTAGCCTACAGTCCTAGGATTCCTTGGGGGCTCCCCATACAAATAACTTTACTAAATATCTTTGGAATTAACCAAGAAAAGGTAGGTGCTGCTATTTGTTTGCTTACTCACCAAACAATGCCTTGAGCCCCAGAGCCAATAGGTTTCAATTGCTGGTAGCGTTTTAGTACAGTGAATGTTGAATCTGCAACTTGAACACTGTAAAACTGTGTGTCACATTTATTCTCGCTCATGTTGTAGTGTCATGTAATCTCTGTCTCAGAATTTGGCAGTTTTCAGGATCTGTGTAAAAAGAATTTTTGAAATGTGAAACGTCTTTTAAGATAGATAAGATAACCTTTGTCACTTTTTACTGTGGCACACATCAAAAATGAAATTCTGTTGCCTGCTCTCAAAGGAAAGTATACATATACCCATACACATACATAACAGAGTTATGAAAGCTGAAGAAGCTTCTTGGATGAGAAGCGAAACATCTACAAAGAAAAACCAGAAACTCCAGTTGCTTCTTGAAAAAGCACCTTTAGAATCTCATTTTTTCTCCTTCTGCTATGTATTCAAAATGGACAGTGAGGGGTGTGTGTGTGTGTGTGTGTGTGTGTGTGTGTGTGTAGTATGTGTATATCTGTGTTATGTATGTGTATGGATAGATGTATACTTTCCTTTGAGAGCAAGTTCAGTTGCCTCTTGAAAAAGTACCTTTGGGACAACCATGACCTGGACGATTGAGAATCTCCACAGGCAGGAAACTTGAGAGTTCACAAGGTTGATACTATATGGAACGAAACTGTGGCTTAATCTAGTTGTTCTGCTTCAGATACCATGAAGCCTCCTCCCAAAAGGTAATGTGGAAAACAGATCGTGAAGAGGATGTGTAACGTGCCAGACAATCCTGCGGACCTTGATTAAGCATCGCTTATATGCCATGTCCTGGATAGAAGGGAATGAACTACCAATTATCTTTTCTGCCATCCTCACCATTTTCTGCACAGCCTTCCTGTCCGAAGCAGTAATGCTTCCAAACCAGACAGTAATGCCATATGACAGGATGCTCTCAATTGTTCCTCTACAGAAAGTGGTAAGGACAGGAGAAGGAAAATGAACTTTTCTCATGCGACGGAGAAAATGCAGGGCCCGCTTCACCAGTGTCTCCCTGTTGAGCGACCAAGCTAGCACACTCATTAGCTGCACAAAAAGTTCTAATAATATTCATAAATTTTAAATCCCATATTCTTATCCCAAATCTAGATATTTCTTTGTATTAGAAAATTTTAATATTTTCTAATGATTAACATTCCCCAATACTCTAGGACAGTGGTTCCCAAACTTGGCAACTTTGGCTGCTGCTGGCTGGAGAATTCTGGGAGTTGAAGTCCACAAGTCTTAAAGTTGCCAAGTTTGGGAACCACTGCTCTAGGAAGTCAATTTAGGACAGAAACCCAATATTATGAAGAATTTTTATAAGGATAATTTAACAGTACTTTATCACAAATAAAAATGTATTATAAATTAACTGAAAATAAATCTGTACTTCGTTGCTGTTACAACCAACCAGTTTTCTGATATTGCTAGGGATCCTCTTGCTATGGCTCCTAAATAAAACTTGTCAAGTTATTGCTTTGGTCTGAAACCATATTTGTCTTGAATTACAGTAAATATTAGCAAATAAATAAATAAAAGCAATTCTCTAAACAGCAATACCTTATTGAACTAACCTTTCCTTTTCTGTACTTTATAAACAATATGTAGCAATAATTAACAGAATTTAAAGTAATCATTATACTAAAGCTCAGATCCAAACTGCCAAAGCATTGTATTAGGGGAAATAGAACTGCTAGTATTTTAAAATATTAATTAATGTCTTGCCAGCAAACTGTTCCACAAATGTGTTGCCAATCTCTGGATACAATAGTCTGTTTTTCTCTCAATTGATGAATATAGTTACATGAAAAACTGCATGCAAAGATTCTACATATTTCCACTGTATGGACATGAGTAGTTCCTCTTGTTCTCCTGCATATCTCAGATTTATTCCACAGAATGCAAGAAAGAGGATTGAGAAAACTGATCTGCCAGCAATGTCTGTAAACTTGATGGATGGACACAACTGGATATAAAGGAGTTTTTTTCTTTATAAATAAGTAAGGTTCAGATATATTAAATGAGCAGGAAAATACTTCTGTGTCTCTACTCTGTTGACAATATTTGCATTACATGTTATCATCTAGATCAGGATGGACAACATTTGAATATATAATTCAAATTACATATACAATTCAAATTATATATACAATTCAATCCCCCAACCTTACAGAGGAACCATATAAAGTTATCCAATGGTGTGATAGTATCACTGAGGTGGGATTTATTTCAATAATCTTTTCAGGGTTCTTTTCATTTCATAAAGCAATCTTTTCATTGCTGTATTTATTGAGAATCTTTTTACGCAGATTTGGTTTTTCAACTCTAAACAACATACAAGTTGAAAAAAAAGCAACAATACAGAAACAATAGCATTTCATATTATTATAATTTGGGAAATTAAAGAATATTACAACGTCACAATTTCTAATTTTTCCAGTTTGGGAAAGCCCCCCGAAGCCAAAAAGCTGACTACTTTGAAGCCAAATTTTGATTGTACAATGTTAAAACTGGAAGTTACAATGTAAGTACTTGTACAAGGGCCATTACAAGTCTTTGACTTGTAATAGTTAGTTTAGTGACTAAAGTTACGATGACACTGAAAAAAAGGTGATTTAGGACCTGTGTGACTTTTCACACTTATCACTGTTGCAGTCTCTCCATGGTCACATGTTAAAAATTCACACAGTTGGCAGCTATCTCATATTTATGACAATTGCAGTATCCTAGGGTCATGTGAACACCTTTTGCAACCTTCTGGCAAGCAAAGTCAATGGGGAAGCCAGATTGACTTAACAACTGTGTTGCTAACTTAACAACTGCAATGATTCGCTTAACAACAGTGTCAAAAAAGATCTTAATGGGACAAAACTCACTTAACAACTGTCTCAAAATATGTTGCTAGCGCAATTTTTTTTTGTTCTGCAGTAAAGACAGTATTTGTATGGTTGCTTGCCAGGTAAGGAAAGAAAAGAGCTCCTTTGATATAAGTTTGCAAAAGCAGCAACCATTGTGTTGAAACAACTGTTTTGCATGTCTTCTATGCACATGGGCAGAAGACAATTCTTTGAAATTAGGTATTCAGGCAAAGCAAAGTAGTCTATCTTCATGCTTGGATTAGTGCACTGAAATATAGCAACTTGCTGTTCTGTGGTTATGGTACTACTTTCTTCCAGCTATCAATTTAGGCAGCTCCATAAAGCAAAATATTGTCAAAGAAATCTGATATAACACGAAGAAATTTTATAAATACTAGTATAAAAATAGAAAGTTTTATTTCATAAACCATGTAAAGTTTTAATGGTTGTACTTTCTAAGGTACCAGCAAGTGTGTGTATTTAAAAGTCTTATTCGCAATGAAATGCTTGATAATTCAGTCACCTAATATTTTAAGAGGGAATATTCTTACAGATATGCAGAAAACAAGAGAGATATTGCATGGACTCAACCAATGGTAAGGGAACTCAAATGCTTTAAAAATTATTGTTTTCAAACTAATGGCTAGTTTGAAACAACAGATTAGTTACTATTATAGTGCACATCTACAAAAGGATTGTTTGCTTTAGGTTTCAAGTTTCAAGAAAAAACACCCCCTTGGACCTGCTTTGATAAACAACATGAACCCTTCATTTTTAAGAGCAGAGAAAAGCAGCCCTCCTCAGCGTTCCCTAGCACTTGAAAATTCAAAAAAGATTTCTACAAACAACTGCACAGAAGCCATTTCTGGATTGGGTGAGTGCTACAGGCTCCTGCTTTTGAATATACTGGGGAATGCTAAGAATAGGTAAGCGGCAAAGAAATATTTTCCTTTTAGCAGTTATTAGTGCTAGATGAAAAAGTTTCTATGCTTTATTTCACAGATGTTGTGTAGCTTTACAGGTGACAGAAGAAAAAAAACTTAAGAAAAATTTTAAGAGGCTAAGAAGTATTCCTTCAAGGTAAAAGTTACTTTTCTTATCTTGATAAAATCACATCTTTCCTTTTCAGCATGAAAACAGTTTACTGATATAAATATGTAACTCATTAGTGATTGGTTCCGGATCTCGTTCCAACCAATACTGTTGGAACAGGCCCGGCGGCGTCCACATGGACGAGCACAGCACATGCGTCTTACCATCCAGCGATGCCTCCGAGATGCTCCAGCTGCTTGATGGAGCATTGCGCAGGCGCTGTACATGCCATGCGCGTGCACAGAAGCACCAAAGACTTTAAAGACAGATAAGGAGCATGAGCGGGCAGGTGGGCCCTCCGAAGCACCGTACCAGAACAGTACCCGGTGCTCCGGGCATGCTCCAGTACGCCCGTACCGGGGCATACCGCCTGCAACCCACCACTCTGTATATATCCATATATTATAGTTCAATGTATGAACCAGTGCTACATTTTTTAGTAGAGAGGATGTTTTAGAACCTAAAAGTAGTTAATTATGTGAATTCTGCCTGCTCTTTGAAAGTGTGTATTAACAAGTATATGCTTACCACTTTTTTTGCTATTTTGAATATTAGGTCTGGAATTGTGGTGATCAAACTTCAAGAATTCAGGACTGTAATTTCCAAGCATCCAAAACTGAAACAGGCAGCTCTGAAGAAAGAACCAAGAAGAAAATTGAAAACAAGGGATAAATAGGCGAACAAATAGCTATTTTTAAATGTGATCCCCCCACAACCCCATGCACCATCTGTCAATATCAAGAACATATCATATGTACTGTTTTCTATGCAATGAACAGATGCCAAGATACTCTGTTTGTATTCCTTCCCTATTCCTTCCTGTTTTCCATTCCTTCCTGTTTTCTAGCTTCCTGTATAAGCTGTAGACTTTTCTAGTACAATTGAATATGGACAACTAATTTTTGAATATCACTGACATGAATTAGAATTGTATGCATAACTACATTTAAATAAGCATCAGAAAGTTTGTGATTCCATTTTTCTCACTTTAAAAATTATATGAAATAGTACATTTTAATATTTTTGACAATTCAACAGTAAAGTATGTAAGTAAATAAAATCAAGAATCATGTCATGTATTACAGGACATAATAGTATGCAATTCATACTATTTTTGTTAAATGTCTAGGAAACATCAAAGCAAACTCTTCTAATATTGACCAACACCAAATTACATCTGGTCATGTGTTAATCAAATAATGACTAAATCAAAATTAAGTATTGTACTGCAAATGCATCAAATAGCTACTGTCGCAAATCTATTGTGAAAACAAAAGAGGTGTTAGTTTATTTTATGAAATATAGTAAAAATATTCATATGTTGATATATAAGTTTACCTAGTAAAAACAATTTTCTATTTTATAGGAAACCTTTTCCAAAACAGCAAAATATATTAAAGCCTATTTAAAGGACTAAAATCTTTCAATTTATAATGTATAAAAAGTAAAAGAATGTGAGAATGATGAACACATGCATAGAGCTCACTGTATTCCTTTTTAGGACTATGGGAAACAAAAGAATAGTATAAGAAATAATCAGCCAAAGAAATTAAAGGCAAAAATTAATAAGTAAGAAAAAAATAATCCAAAATTTACACCAATTCTATTTATAGTATTTCTCCAATCTAACAAACCATCCTTATTTCCATCATGTTCATACACAACTTCATACATTACCATTTTTAAACTTCTCATCATCAACTCCAATCAATTTTGTCAGTTTTTTTCTTTTTCTTTGTAAGCCATTCATTTTGCTTCATACATGTTTTACAATTTGATTCTCATTGATGAACCTACCTCAATTTACTTCTGTACCTAATAGTTTTGTATCTGATTTACAACAGTACGTTACCACACAAATTTCAAGCACTCTATTCTACTACATTCAACTCAGCTTTACATTTCTCCTGATATACCCAATTACCCTGAAACACCCAACACAAAATGGGCAAAAGCAGATGTTTTTTGTACACAGACACTTTTGCTATTTTTGATAAATAATCCTCACAACAAATTATATACGGTCTATTTATAAATATCAGCACTTGTACACATAAATTATATCGGCTGCTCTATCCCCATCTCTAAGGAACATAAATTCATTTACTAGCTCTAGTTCGGTGATGGTGAACCTTTTTCATCTCGGGTGCCAAAAGCACATGGGCATGCACTATCATGTGCACTCATGTGCCCAACCCCATAATTTAATGCCACTGCCCCATGCATGTGTGCAAGGCTTTCTTGGAGCCTGGGGAGGGCGAAAATGGCCTCCCCCGCCCCCCGGAGGGCCTCTGGAGGCCAGAAACCGTCCATTTTCCAACTTCCAGTGAGTGGAGTGGGTCCCTTTTTTGCCCTCCCCAGGCTCCAAAGGCTTGCTAGGAGCCCGAAGATGGCAAAAAATGGCCCAACACACAAATCGTAAGTTCAGGAACAGACTTCTGGGTTGCCCGTTGGCACTGTTCCCTCTAAGGTGCGCGCGTGCGCGGCCGCGCAC